TAAATTACTTACCCCTTGATAAAATTAAACGTAAAGCTGCCGTCTAGGCAGAGGGTTTAATAAGACACAATCGTAAAATTCCATTAACAAAAATTATCGATGCTTTGTAAATATGAACATGTGATTGTGCATTTATTGTAATTGGAAGTGTATATCCATTTATGTCTCACAACACAATAAAACTCATTAATTTCTCTGTTATTGGTTGCCTTTGTTTTTCTGCCGCTAACCAGAACGTTGACCCATCGGTTTGTTTTCAATGACACCGAATTGTTTAACAAAAATTTGGCTATGCTTAATTTCATCATAACTTTAATTTGTTCAAATCAAATCAAATACTTCATTTCCTATACATGTCAGTAAAATGCATAAAAAGATACAATCGGCCTATGACATAAGTATAAAGAGGAAGTTAAATAGAAAGATAGTTTTGAAGTGACATTTTTCAAATGTTGTGCACACTCAAGCGTTATTTGCATATTTGGGTAATAGTAAATAATGAGCTGTATCTTCTTTATATAATAATGTCGTCAGCCAATAGGACAACGTCGTCTGCCCAAACCAGACAGCCAATATGCGTGACATTAACGTAAATGCCTAAATAAAAAAAAATAAAAAATGGGAGATAAATTGCATCCTTGCTTTACACCATCAGTAACCTCAAATACCTCCGTTTGAATATCATTAAAAGTAACCTTACTTTTAACATGTTGTATAAGCTTTTACTGAGTTTTTTGTTTTTCTGCTCTTGTTTTACGAGTAAGGCCTGAGGAACATGAAAATATGTTTATGAATGGAAATAGGGATGATATTTGGGAATTTTTATATCAGGAAGCATTAATTCAAAGCTTTCGTTAATGCTCGGCAATATAGGTTACCGTATTATTCGCACCATTTTATGAAAGATAAATTTGAAATTATAATTATTTGAAAACGTCTGTAAGAATTACATAAAGGGAGCCTGGTCAGCACGAACATATTATGTTAAATACCACCAGTAACAGTTGACAGTCTCTAGTTAATGTAAAACCTTTTAAATCATCCAAGGAGAATTCTAATTTTTTAGGAGCTATTTTACTGTTTTAAAAAATATTTTTAAACAATTAATAATAATAATTTTACTGTTGTTTTACTTTTTTTAATTAACGTTTTATCTAAATTTCAATTAACTGCACTGTTTTACCATTCCAATGTTACGATTACCTGATGAAAAAACGTGGAATTTTGTTTGATTATTAGAATATTATATTTTTTTTTTAAACTTCCGATCTTAACTTATTTTATCTTACTTTTTTGATTTAAGATATGTTTGCCTGTATACCTGTATATCATTTAAGTTTTTTGTGATTTATAGACGCACCGTTTTGTCTAACGTAACGTGTGCCTTTGTTTTATAAGAGAAGATCCAATAACTTATTATTATTATATTATTTTACTCTGATTGGATATTCTTAATTTCCATCACATTGAAGTCCAGAAAAAGTGAGGCGTAACCACCCCCTTTTCTACATTTCCACCAGTTTTTAAATATTCAAAAATCTGTATCGCATTAACCGGTTCCGAATTCGTCAAACATCCCTTATGGTAGAAAAATAGATGTACAGTACATCAATACACTTTTTTCCTCCAGAGCTGGGCTTTAAAGCTGGGAGGCCTGGATTACCTTATTTGGGTAAATTAATAATGACTGTGTGCACAGTATCATTGTTCTTGTGAAAGACAAGTGTGCCATTATGGCTAAAGTGATTAAAATACATGTATTGACAAAAAAACACAGCATACTTAAAATAATAACCCTTCATTGAATAAGGAGATACTTACAGACAGCTCTATACACAAACTAACGAGTAGGTCTGGTGTAGGTAGGTCAGTATTATAGCAAAAATCGTCTTTAATGAATCAGTGCAAAGCGTAAATATAAATGAATATGGTACAGTATGTTAGAGCGTTAAAGCCCAATTCCCGGCAAAATTTCACTAAAAACTGACTTTTTTTAGAAAATATGCATTTGCATTACTTCAATTATTATAAATCATGGAAAAATATTGGCATGAATTTTAGTTTTACGCAAAAGAATAAAAAAAAAAAGAGAAATACAGACTATTTTTCATAAAATATTACCATTTTCTCGACGAATTCATCGTTACTAGGCAAATTCAGAGGTTGTAGATCGCATCCACTGGAATACTCTCGATTTTATGTATGCTTTATACAGTCAGAGCCATATATATAAAGAGTTGCGACATTCCGCTCCTTGGTTTACGAAAGTCACGTGGTACACACCGTCCATTTTGTTTCATAATCTTCCCGATGAACACATGCAAAGTATATGTGTTACGTACATTGCATATTAATTTCACACACTTAATTGGGTTTACAATTATAACATCACTTAGTATGGACAGCGTATAAGAATTCATATATAATCGAATATTTGCGCGCGTGCGTGCTCGCGTAAATTCCGTGCTCGCGTAAATGATTGAAATTAAAATTAGAATTGTTTTCAATTATCGTTAATTCGTCACATTTTAATCAATGAAGTCCCGACCTATTTTATTTAATGGTAATCTTTTCTTTGGTTTTAATTGTTTTTAATAGTTTTATATTAAATATGTTTTTAATAGTTATATATTATATATATATATATATATATATATATTTATTTATTTATCATATATCATTTATCAGTTGCATTATTACACTGTGTACGTTCATCATTAAAATTTTATTTTATTTTCTCATTCGCCTAGATGCGTTCGGAAAATATTTAAGCTAAATAAGAAAAAAAATTATTTTTTCCCGACCTTTTCTTACGATCTTTAAAGGTTGTTCGCTAAACAATATTAGAAAATGGTTCTTAATTTCAAATCTTTGTACAGCCTGTATAAGTACGAATGACAATGAAAATAAAGGTGATGTTTAATAATCTTTAAAATGATTTGCTGTTTCTATTGCATACTATTATATAATTATTATAACTTTATTTTGGAAACGACGCTTTTAAAACAGCGGACACGCTCTTGCAGTGTGTTCATAAAAGTAACATACTGTACAGCCATAATACAATATTAAAATAGAGGCGAGACTTTTAATACAAAATTTACGATAATTACACAAGTTGAATATATCACAGATCCTGTATATCATTTAACACTTACAATTTATAACATTTACAGCAAAGCACAGTTTATATATTGCGGCCAACTGACCTTTACTATTTTAATATTTATAAATAATAATAATCAAATTAATAACATAAGATTTGTATAGGGCTCGCTCATATTCAAATTTAAAGAGCAACAATCTATATACCCTAGACGGATTTAAATTACAATTTAATTAATTTTTGCTGGTCGTCACATATCATTTATTTGCAAAAATAATAGGAGCTACTTAAGGATTGCCTAATTAAAGATTGCTTGCCATCGAGGGGCTCTCTCGGTCTATCGGCGAGGATTAAAGAACTGCTTAAAAATAGTAAATTATTACAGTATTATTTTATAATATGAAATTGGATATGAAGTAGTGAAATCATTAAAAAAAAATCTATAAATAGTTACATGAAACTCGACTGCTAAAAAGATTAAATGAAATTAAACTATACAGGAGGCCGTTAACTGTATTACTGTATACAGTATTATACACAGGAAAGCATATCACGTTAGACACATAACGCGCATCGCGTATGACACAAAATGGCTTCTAAATTCTCAATGTCGCAACTCTTTCTATCTATGGCTCTGTATACAGTCAATAAAGCGCGCCCTCTCTAATGAGATTAGTTTTTGTACTTCGCATCTCGCACAATGCGGTCGTTCGGTTAGGCTGAGATATGTTTGTTTAAGTGTCAAAATCTCAGTCAGATTCAGTTTTTTAACAAATTTGAAATAATTCCTATGAAATATTATATTTCACAAGTGTCAATACTAGCTAGCAACGGAAAATATCATGTCGGCCGTTTTTATGTGTGATAACAGAACCTAAATCGAGGTAAGGCTAGGCCTAGCC